ACTCTCACTCTCACTCTCACTCACACTCGCACTCACTCACACTCACTCTCCCACTCTCACTCACACACACTCTCACTCTCACCCACACTCCATCACCACCATCACTTTCTGGACCCCAATGCGTCTAGATCTCTAGACTTTCTGCTTGCAGGCCTCACACACACACACACTGTTTGGGGCCTCTTGCTCTTGCCGGATAATTTTCTTTTTGATGTGATGAAACTGAAATGCGCATTTGACGCCAGCAGGCTTTGCTTCTTCAAGTTGGCCTTTTGCTATGAAGTCGCATGCAGTCTCATTTGGTTTTGCAGCTCGGCTCAATCCAGTGTTGGTAAGTTTTCCTAAAAATTTGGTTCCTTTAGTGCGTGAGCTATCCTGCGTCCATGTCTAGGGGCAAAGTAGCTTACTCCCTTACTTAATCAAGTAGGCGCCTACTGGCCTACTTATATAATTAAGTAGGGAGGGAGCGGAGCGGGCCAAAAACAATGTTTGTTGGGTTGAAGTCGAGGCTACAACATAGGCTGCTCTATGACGGCGTCACCATTGTCAACTGTGCCCTACGAGTTCACTTGGCTTGAGCGAGCTGGCTTACAGTGCTACCTTCGCGCAGGAGCGAAAAGCCAAAAATCGAAAGTTTTGAGGAATCTCGAGTGGACACCTAACTGCCACCCATCAATGCTGCCAACTCTGCAAACCACATTATAGAGCTCTGGAAGGTAACGCCATTCTGATTCTTCTCAACTTTGTCTAGTATGACGCCAATGTGCTTCAGAAATGGTTTCTATTTGTTGTAGGACCCTTGAATCCAGAGCTTCGGCGATACTTCTTTGCGGTGGGTCAGGCTCAGAACGCCTGCACTCACCCACAGTTTTTGTGACCAAGATTTCTGATGGTGTATAGGAGTGAGTTCCATGCAGCCTGTGTGTGCACGCTAGGTCTCATTGATTGGTTGCTCGGTTGGTTGGTGGTTCGATGTTTTTTCCTGTCCGCGTGCCGCCCTCCTGTCCTCACTTTTGATGCCCGTGTCAAGAGTTTCTGAAAAGTGTTGCGCCATGGGCCAAAAATACTCCAGCTGACGTGTCATCACCATTTACAAGCCAACTGGAGAACACACACCGGAGTTGTAAAGAAGCTAATTGCGTTGGCGAGAGGACAGTCCAGACTGCAATTGTTGGGAGCAGGAACGAAAGGCAAAACAATTTTTCCTCAGCGAAGCTATAGGGGTTCTTACTTTTCAATGGGTGGGTTCCTGATTGCCGCCTTGTTTCCCAAGCTTGTCTCCCTTCATGCGCTCTTGGGTGCCGCTGCCGCCTTGTCTGTGAAGCTTGTCTCCCTTCATGATTTCG